TTTTTTTTTTTTGTGGTCATATTTGTTCATCCTTTCCATTTTGGGATGGTATTAGTGTAAAACTTGTGAGCAGTGTCGTAAATGGTAAGCTATTTACCGAAGATTGCTTTATTATACTGAATGTGAATGACGCGTTTCATAGGATTTTTAATTAAGAACATGTTTAATTTGACCGAGTTATTGCTCTTCTATCTGTGCAGGCTGTGATTAGTGAATGCAACAAAACTACTAACCAAGAAGGTAAGTATCTAATGAATAGTTTCATTATTCTATTAATTTTATTTTTTTTGACTTATGATTTAATTTATGTGAATTCCATTTAGTTACAGGTGCAAACCTGCAAATATTTCCTCCCAATAGTCAGGGATATCAAACTCTCGGTGCTCCCAGTGGTATGTAATAGAGTTAGTGTTCTCTCTCTTTTTCCTTTCATTATTTATTCTTTGCTTTCAAGTCAGGGAACATAGGTCACTTAACTATATCATCTTGGACTTGTTTTGTTTCAAATAAGCACTTATGATCTGACCTTACTTTAATGGTGTATATCACTTTGTTCCAAACCAGGTGACAACTTGAATAGTATACCTTTTTTTTTTGTATGAGTGAAATAGCCATTTTCAAGTCAATACTATATGCACGCCCTTGTGCAGAACTTATCACTACCTGATTTGTACGAGAACACGAGCGTCGCGGGTTTCTGATCTTATATTTATGCCTTTTTCAAGAAAGACCTGCTACCTGGTCGAAATACTGATAGTGAATTGAACTTTCTGTTCAAGTGTTATTTTGTAGTCCTATTCATGCTATCACTTTGCCCAGTGTTGCCTCTTTCTGGTAAAGAGAAGCCACTTTTTTTTTCTTTCTTTTTTTTTTAATATTTTATGTAAACACGCGTAAAATTACTATACTTTATTCAATAATTTGTTTTCCATGAGTTCTATTATTATGGGTAGTTTACAAAATTCTTGTGCTCTTTTTTTTTTTTTTTTGGCAAATAAATTCTTGTGCTCTTTAAGTGCTGTTGAATATGCTTTTGTGGCCCCTACTATAAGTCTTTTAGAAGGCTCAGTGCGTTCTTTTGTGCCTTATATTTTTTATTTGAACTTTATTATTGAACGTGGTAAATATATGCATAGGAAGTAATACACAATTTTACGGAAATGAAAATCTGGCCATCAGTGTATAGCATTTAGTTAACAGTGCTTGGTGGCCCGTCACAAGAAATCCGTGCTCTATTGCTGTATCCTTGCTCCTTTTCATAAATGATGGATAGCGTGCTTTTGTTTGTTTGTTTTTTTTTTTTTTTTTTGGTTGTCTTTTTTGCTTTACTTATCTAGTACGAAGAAGCATACGTGTTTTTACAACACATACAGAAAAAATACACCACACACACACCCACAGGAATCTAGTAAGGTACTGCTTGTCCGGGAAAAACACCTAACACCTCTTGGCTTGAAGTTGGTTCCTGATGAATGGTATGCTTTTAACTCTTAAAGCAAGATGCATTTTGTGTACTTTTATGGTGATATTCACTCTTCCGGGGTAACCTTAATGTTATTATTGATGGTGAAATGTTTGTTAACACAGGTCAATTTTTCTGTATTATAATCCAATGTTATTCCCTGCTTGCTACAATATGCTATTGCTCAAACAGCAGATGTTGTGTTACATCTAACATGTGCAGATGGTGGTGGACAACAGCCGGCAAACAACTGGAAAGGACTGCTTAGCATCTCTTCATACACTCAATATTTTAATGTAGACACGGACATCGTACTCAACAGATTGATCAGTTCTTTGTATCCTTCAACAGGAGATTTTGTGAGCAAAATCGATGCAAACCCTGACCTGTAAGTTGATTGAAGATGAGATAAACCCATTTCTAGAATAGTGAAATTGACCCTGGTTGAGATACCTTGACTATGAGTTATTTTTAATCTGGAAAAGGGGTTCTGATGCGTTCTTTTGGAAATATAATCAACCAATTCAATTGTGGAAACTGTATTTTTTTTTTACTCATTTTTTATTGACTGTGAATGAAAAGTTAAATTCCTTTCCTTTTGGAGTGGTTTAGTCTTAGGTGGCTAATTTGATTTCTCTCGTTTTTTAGTGCACTACTTGAAATCTCCATGTAAAGAGGGTCTGTTGGTTAAAATAAGGTAAGATAGAATTAAGAGAAAAAGAATTGTAGAAGGAAAACTCCAGAAAATTTATAGTTTGTCTTCTGTTATTCCTAATCTCCACACTTTTATCTTCTTTCTAAAGCATAGATAATTGAAATTCATCCTCTAACTATGATTACTCATTGGTGTAAGTTTTTGCTAAAGAACATAGGCTCCCTTGTAAAATATTGATGCTTGTATCACGTGAACGCAGATATGAAAAGTAATTTATATATATCTTCAATGGAAGAAGTGTGAAGCTTTGAAAATCTGCTCGAGCATGTATAATAATCTTAGTTTTTTTTATATTCTGCGCCAATTCTTACCGAATATCAATAGCTGAATACATTAACTTAGGATATTTTTTATGCTTGCATTTGGAATTTACAACTTCTGAGATTCATTATGATTTATGAATGTGATGGCTTATATAATAATATGCAGTGTTTACTTCTGGTCCTTACTGGGACTTGTAACTATCTGCTAAAGTTTGTTTCTCATAAAGTACATGATTTTCTGTAATTGTGGCACTCTGCCATTTAGTGGTAGAAGGAGAAAACATGAGAATAATAGCATAGTGAAGCTGCTTATATGTTTTTGGAAGCATGTATACTGACTCATGTCTGCGTGATGATTATTTATCGGGGATAATACATCTGTATGTATCATTCAATTTTGAACTTGAAACATATGATTTGGAAAAGGACAACATAGTGAGATTTTCTGAAAATATGCCCTCAATCTACCTTTTTTCATTTTGTTAGTTCGTTGTTGCTATTAGATCTATCTATTCGTTGTTATTAAGCAATATAACAGGATCTTATCCTTGATATTTAGACAACAAATTTTTCGCCCTCACACTTAACTTTCCTTTTTTTGTATGTTTTTAGCTATGGTCTTGTGTGGATCTCAACAACATTGGTTTTCGTGATTGCCTCCCTCGGGAACTGTGCTACCTACTTAATGCAAAGAAAAAGCAATGGCGGTTCTTCATGGACATTCGATGTCAACTACGTAAATGTGGCAGCTGGCTCCATTTACGGTTATGCCCTCTTAGTTCCATTGGGATATTACTTTTTGATTCAGTACATGGGTTCGAGCGTCAGCCTCATACGCCTTTGGTGCCTGTGGGGATATTCCCTTTTCATTTTTATCCTGGCTTCTGTGAGTGTCTCTGTGTTTCTTATATGTGCAATTGATCCTTTTGTTTCTTATGTGTGCAATTACACATAAACTCAATCACAAAACACACACACACACACACACATATTGCCCATATTTTTCACTTGGACACTACATATTACACGCACAGTCACACTAGATACATGTCACACACACACACTTCACCCACTACAAGTTGGCAAGTTCATATTTTTTATATAAAATAAAACAACAGAGAAATATTTAGAATTTGTAATGGATATGAAACATTTTCAATTACACTTACCAAGAAATTTGAATTAATAAAATTCAAAAATATGATCATGAAATCCTCTTAGTTCCAAAAGAGTTTAAATCCTCTTAGTTTCAAAGTTATTCTTTTGTTTCTTTTTCTTGTAATGTGATACGTATGTTTTTGTTAATGGTATGTATGTCCCAGTTTCTGTTGATTGTGCCGGTTGAGTTTGTTCGGTGGCTTATCATATTAGTCGCCGGTGGTGCTTCTGCCAGCTTTGTTGGTTTGAACCTCGGGTCTTACATTCAGACCAACGACCTCACAATTGTGCCCATCTCCGCATTTGTGCTGCAAATGGGTTTATCTGTCTTCATCAAGATGTGGTTCTTTGCTTAGCTGAATATCAGTATGTTAAATGCCGTGGTTTGAGTATTCACCGGGAATTGTAGCTACAGGCTTTTGTCGATGTTGTATATTTGACCGCCATATAGCTTTTAGATGCTGATGTTATTTGTAGCCAGGGCAATTTTAAGTTTTTGGCTTTGTTGATGTTGCATGGAACTGTGAGTCTGTGAGCACGTTCAGCCATTGATACGGGTTTGGAATTCGATCAAGGTTGATGACGAGTCGAATTTACTGGTAAATTTACACGTGATGTATTGTGCTTCCCATTGTGCATTTCAATTTGACTCAAATTTCATGATTATAATTGATACATAGTATGTTGAACTATATGATATAGTCATTTTTAAAGCTTTTAGGGCTTGCTTGTTTACTAATTTATTTAAAAAAAAAAATCTCAATTCAAAATCTAATTTAATTAAATTTCACTATCTTCAATATTATAAATATAATTAAATAATATTAATTAATCATCTTTACACATATATATACATCAAATCAACTTTAATTATCTATTCATTTACTCACATAATTTTAACTACCTATTATTCTCAATTACTTATCTCATACTTTTACACATCAATTAGTTTTAATTATTTTATTTTAAATATTATTTTAACATAAACTTAAAATCTCATTAATAACTAATTATACTAACTTTTTCAAAATTAATCATGGTTAACCGAAAAAACCAAGCAAATATCAATATATTTATAAACAAGCGCATCCTTAACATGTGAAAATTCGTTTTATTTCAATTGATTTTATAACTGCATTGGACAAAATATTATGACGCTTTCTGGTCATTTTCATAAAGAGCCCTGTTTGAGAGAAATCCACAATTACTCCTTTTCATTCCATAAAATAATCAATTGTAACTGTCAATAGAAGTTACGAACAATTAATTAAAAAATTAAACTAATAACTAATTACTCTCTCTCTCTCATTCTGTTTTTCTCTTTCTTCTTTCTCTCTCCTACTTCTCTTTGCCCGTTTCCCTTTCTTCTCCCTTTTCCTTCTCTTCTTATTCTTCTAATTCTTTCTTCTTCCTCAAACATGAATACCTAAAGAGAGAAAAAAAATAGATAAAAAATTTGTACATACACAATTTATTTAAAAAATAGGTGGACAATCATGAATGTGAATGAGAGAAAAAATAATAAAATATAAAAAATAAAAAAAAATTGTTTACAGCAACAACAAAAAAATAACATAACACTAATAAATCAACATAAAAACAACATAAAAACAACCGTGTGTACATAATTTAATAACAAAATACCCACATCGGCATCCCTCAAAATCAACATTTTTCCTTTTTCCACTTGTGTGTACTCAAGTAACATCAAGGTCTACACTTGAAAAAAAAAGGAAAAAAAAAAAAATGCAAATCATGGACAAGAGAAAAATAAATAACTAAAAAACCAATTAATATCACAACAACAAATTGAAACTCAGATTCACCTTTTATAAACAATTAAAAAATCAATCACTTATAAAAATATTTAAATATCAACCATTTCGGAAAAGAAAAAGCAAGAATAAAAATTCATCATTACTTTTTCGGAGCTTCTTCGGCAACCGTTGGGGCAACGTGTTCGACCATCTTCACTGGACATCAGAGATCTATTTGAAGGCTTCCGCTTCTCGATTGCCGTCGCGAATCCGCCAAAAGTCAAATATGTTTTCTCCGTCAGTGATTGGCCCTATTGCATAACGTCGAGTAAAATAGGAATTATATGTTTTTTAAGGGAATTTTCAAGAACTTCAAGCAGTTCATGATTTTGAAAAAAAAAATGGGATGTGGATTTGACTAAAAATTTTGGAAAAATTAGATTAGAAAAAATATGTAAATTGGAAGAAGAAGAATAGAAAGAGACGAAAAAGGGAATAAGATTAAAGAGAAGATGAAAGAAAATCACTGAGAGATAATAGAAAAAATTAGGGAACAAGAAGAAGAGGTGAAAGAAAAGGAAAAAAAAAGTAAGAGAATAAGATAAGGAGAAAAAATAAGAAGTTACAAGAAGAAGAGTTACTGGAAGTTACTAAAAAGGTGTATATGAAAAAGGAAGGAGTAATTTTGTCTAAATAACAAGTGAGAGTTTTAATGTAAAATGTTTAAAGTTAAAGATAGAGTATGTCATTAATTCCCCATATATTCATCGGCTGAAAACAATGTTTGTAGCTAGCGTTTTTGGCCCAATCCGTCAGAAGATAAAAAAATAAAATAAAATAAAATAAAATAAAAAATAAAAAATTAAAAGTCTTAATTGCCCATATTCATTATTACACTTAGAGAAAAAAAAAATGAGACTCTCACTACATCTTACAATTTTAGGAAAAAATAATCAAAATCGTGGTACTTTTTTATTCAAATTCATATGAAAAAAATAACTCTCTTTATATCTCACAAAAAAAAAAAAAAAAA